GTCCTAACCTCAGTTCCAGGAGACCTGACACCCTCTTCTGACCTCCATGGGTATTGCACAACATGGGTGCACTTACATACGTGCAGGCAAAACACTCATACACATAAAATAAAAAGATAAATAAAATTTTTAAAAAAGAACTGCTGTACTCACTAGTATCGACAGGTCTAGTAAAAGGGGGTCTGGTCCTGAGCCCCACTTTTCCCCCTGACAGGACCTGTGGCCCATACCATTTCCTTCTATGCCTGTTTCAGGAAGTCAGGATGCTGGGCATCCCTCCCCACTTGACTTCAAGCCCATCCCACAGCCTTAGTAGTCCCAACATGTTTTTCTGAAGCTTCTATGTTTCTAGGGGACCCTCTCTCATCTGTGCCTGTTTCAGGAAGTCAGGATGCTGGGCATCCCTCCCCACTTCAAGCCCATCCCACAGCCTTTGTAGTCCCCAACATGTTTTTCTGAAGCTTCTATGTTTCTAGGGGACCCTCTCTCATCTCAGAGTGTGGCCAAGTGGCAGCGGTTTATAACCATGTGGGTGGATGTGCATGGAACTTAACATGCACATATTGCCCTGTGTACCCTTAAGGATTTGGGGAGGAAGTGTGGGTGGGAGGCAGGGATGGCTCCCCATGCCACATTTTGGTGCCTTCGCGCCTTGTCCACCTGTCCATCATTTTCTCAGGGTAGCAGGAAGAGGCTAGAGCATACTGTACAGAGCAGTTAGCTTGACCCATGACATTGAACTATTCCTAAATGTGGAGACATGTTCTTCAGAGCCTGCAAAATGGTGGGTGATGGTGGGATTGACTCAATGAACAGAACAGCACAGTTAGTTTTTAGGTGGGGGAGGGGAATTTGCTGCTTTCCGCCCCTTTCTGATGTGGCTTAGTAGAGTGGGGATTTAAAGGCATTGTATCTAGGGCTTCAGCAGCTGTGGTAAAGTAGATGTCTTGGAGGCTGGAGTCAAGTATTTATCTCCCAGTGAACAAATGGACTGTTACGTGTGTGTGTTTGGGGAGATAAGGTTGGGGCAGATCATTTCTCATTCATTTTATTTCTCATTCTTAGACTCAGGCTTGCTAGTAGGATCTGCATGTTAAACACTTCTACCACTGAACTATCAGAACTATACCCCCATCCCCAAAAACATGCTTTACGGAGATGGGAAGGGAAGTCCGTTGTCATGGCTGTGAAGTCCTACTTTTTGTATACTGCTAATGGGTTTTGAGTGCCAGGAAAAAGCCACTGTGATCTCAGCTGGGCTCCGAGTGGATCAGTTCTCTCCCCAGCAACCTGAGGAGTTAGAAGAGTAATTTGAGACCAAGGAATTCTGATTGTTTGCAGCTTGTGAAACAAAATGTGAGAGGTCCATTAGCATCTCCGAGGGTTGCAAGGAGTGGCCCTCAGTCAAGCGGAATATAAGGAAGCTTGCTTTACCACCACCACCCCTCCCCTGCACAGAACCCAGAGGCATTGGGAAGGAGAGGCAGAAAGGGATGAGATTCTACCACAAAGTTCCTGGACTCCTGGAATCGCATTTCCTCTCAGTGACTGCTCTTGCAGGTTGGCACAATCATGTCGATGGCATCAGCCAGGAAACCTTCTGGATATGGAGAGGCAAGAAGATGGCTACAAGGGTCTAGTATAGTGCGCTCCAACTTAATTCAGACTATCAAGTGCAAGTTGAACAAAATGGAAAAGAATAGAAGAAGCTGGAGAAACTGGTAGAAAATGGTGATTGCTTGTACTTAGTAACCTGAGATCCATGTAGGCTTCACCTAGTTCAGAAGCACAAGATTCACATCTGTGTTTCTCCTTACCTGTGACATGGACACACACCCGCCTCCAGTGTGGTCTGAATCCATCAGGCTCCAGTCAAGGAAATTAATGATGCAGAAGCTTTCAAGCAGGCAGTTTATTAATGCAGGGCATCATTTTGTGTGTGTGTGTGTCTGTGTGTGTGTGTGTGTCTGTGTGTCTGTGTGTGTCTGTGTGTGGTGGGCAGGGGGTTGTCAAAGGGTTGGGAAGCTGAGGACAGCGTTGGGTGTAGGTTCCTTCCATCTTCTGTTTGAGACTAGCATGAGAAATATAAATAAAATGTATTGTCTTTTCTTTCAAAGGAAGTTTTACCTTTACAATGTTAAGAGGCTTCAGGAATTAACCACAATCTGCATTTTCTTTATCTCCAGTTTGCTCTCCCCAGTAGGGGGTGCCTGTTGATTGTCAGCAACTGGGAGTCCTGGATTCATGCCCTAACATTTACATCTGGTTAAAGTGTTCTAGAGCTAGTAGCTAGTTTAATGTTTATTTCTGAACACACCAATTGTAACTTGTTGGTTTTCTCACCCCCCCCCCCCCCTTTATGACTCTGGCTACGTGCCAGGGCCCTGGCACTCTGCTTTTTGGCTCTGGCCCCACATCTCTAAATTTTAAAGATTCTTACTAGAATGCCCCCTTCCCTTTTAAATTCGGGACCCCAGTTTAGACTGTGAACTAATGAGGAGCAGCCAAGCTCTCAGAGCAGCCTGGCACCCTTATGCAGAAGTCAAACTTTTTGCCTTATTTTGGATCAAATGGTCATTTTCTTGGGAGCCCAGACTCATTTCAAACAGAAATCTCTCATTGGCCAGACTATCTGGGATCAGAGTTTTGAGGAACTCGCCTGCCGCAGCCTCTTACTTCCCCATCACTCACGTCCTCGTGCTTGGGAAACCAGCACTTTACTGACAGAACCGTCTCCCCACCCATGATGCCTCTGGATGTGGCTGAGATGCTGGTTGCCTCAAGGGGGCCACCTCCGTGAGTTCCTTGAAGGGACTGGACTCCAGCAGGGAGAGCCGGAACCAGGAATGTGCGTGTACAAAGGGAAACAGCTGCCCAGGAGAAACCACCCAAGGGAGAGGGTCTGGATCTAACTTTACCCTAACCCTCTATCATCTTCTAGTTTCTTTGTGGCCAAACTCAGCCAGACATGAACTTGAGAAACAGAGTCTTGGAGGTGACTGCTCTATGATACGCTCAAGCACAGGACTGCCCTGTTTCCTGGGTCACCAAAGTCATTCTGACTGCCAGCTTTTTGTGAGGGCTTCACCCTGGCACACTGCTCCTGCTAAGCCCACTATCCTGACTGAGCCTTGTACTGGATCCCTGACAGCTGATAATAATGTGGGCACTGAAGTTGGAGTTCCAGGAGAATTGAAGGTCCCGCCCTACAGCTGTTTGCAAGTCAATGGAGCAAGTGTTTATATGCAGAAGCATTTGGTCCCATTGTATCTCCACCTAGCTCTCTGAAAGATCCTCATAATTACAGAGCAGCTGCAGAAGTTGGAAGACCAAGGGATTATTGGTTCAGGGCTCACTGCTGATAAATTTGGAGTGTGGTTCTGGTGGAAAGGTGAGCTAGGAAGGCTCTGACAGGAGAGTCACTTGGCAGGGAAGAGTGGAGTGGCTTTTCAGAGGGATTGGAGAGGCTGATGAGGACTCTTAAAGATCTTTGGCTTCACGGAAGAATACCCAGTGTCTTGCTGTGGTGTGTGGGGATGGCAGATGTTGTGCACGTGGGTGTGTTTCCCACTCACTTTCCTCAGGGGCTGTCCTGTTTTGGAACACTTCCAGAGCCCCGAGAAAATCCAGAGGCTGAGGGTCAGACCTGTCTTCGTTCTTCCCACCGCTCTGAACTCTGGGAACTCTGCAGGTATTACCGAAGAGCAATCTCTCAGGTTTTTCTCCTTTTGTCAACAGGTGGATCTTGAGAGAACCTTTACATTTCGAAACTCAAAGCAGACCTACTCAGGGGTTCCCATCATTGTAGCCAACATGGACACTGTGGGGACGTTTGAGATGGCGGTCGTGATGTCACAGGTGAGACGTTAACTTTTGTGTGTAGGGGTAGTTTGAAGGGGTTGGAACCCAGGATTTTGCATGCCAGGTATGAACTCTGCTTCAGAGCTCCATCTTTATTCCGTCAGGAGTCTACCTGGATTTCATCAAGCACTTTGGGTCATTGTTGGCTCTGAATCAGATTGTTGCTAGAAACATGCCTTTCCCTCCTCTTCAGTCAGAAAATGGGCTGTGTCTGGACTCTGTGCTCTATGAGGTGGCCTAGTTCTGTGTCCATCTCTTCTGTGGAAATACCTGTGATGGTTTTAGAAATTAGACATTCAAAAAGAAGTTAGCAGGATGAGCGTCATACTGGAGGAGGCCACCCGCTGTAAAATGAGGATGGCCACTTTGCATGCAGCACTGAATACATCCTGGTGGAGAGGTTTGCTGTTCCTGGCTGTATCTCTATTTTCATCAAAACTCCACAGGGTAGGCTCCTTTTACAAATGAGGAAACTGAGGCAGAGAGGGAAATAGGAGGGACATCTTGCCTCAGGCCTTCAGTCGAGAGGCAAGACTCTAACTCAAAGTGACCCCAGAATCTGCAGGATGCATCTCTAAGCTGGATAGATGTGAGTTCAAGTTTCTTTTGGTCAGTGACTAATCTAATTGCCTAGAAAGGGAATGGCTGGTACCTTGGCTTTGAGGGTTGGGGTGGGAATAAAGACCAGCTGTGTTGAGGACCTTTGCCTAGTAAGCTGTATGAGGTATGCATATCTTGCTCTTTTGAGATGGGAATGTTTGCTGCTGATGGGTTCAGGGGCTGCATATCTGTTTCTACTGGTAATGCCTGCCAAGTGCAGAGGTGAATGCAATCAGTTGGAAAAGCTCACTGTGGGCAGCAAGTTTAACTGCAGGAGGCACCAGGATTCATTATGAAGCAGTAATGAGGAGGGAAAGAGGCTCAATTATGGGCTTGGAGAGTGGATTTGGGGGATCATCCATCTGACTACAGGATTGGTTGTGTTGTCTGGCAGCTCTAAGTCCCTGCCAAGTATTGGGTCAGAGGCTAATAAATTAACTGCTGAAGGAAGGAGGGATTTTTTCCTCCTTATCTTCTCCTTGTTTTGTCTTAAATGACCACTATTGTTAGTATATTCCAGGGTGCGGGGAATTGCCCCTGGAGGTCCCTATGGTGAAGGATTGCCCCAGGGTGCTTTTCAAGGGGGTGGAGCCTCTGAGAAGGGGGAACCTGATGGAGGTCTTTAAGTCATGGAGTGTGGCCTGGAAGGGGAGTGTAGGACCTCAGCGTCTTTCTTACCCTTTTACCTCCCCTGGCTGTGATAAGGTGAGTGGTTTTGCTTTGCTGTGCACTCTGGCTCTGATATGCTGACTCACAGGCCCCAAACAGTGGGCAAAGATTAAGGACCTGACCCTCCAATACAGTGACCCAAAACAGACCTTTCCTCATTGTAAGTTAATTGTCTCAAGTATTTTGTTATAGCAACAGAAAGCTGACATTGTAAAAGTGAGGGTAGTCAGGAAGCAAATCACAGCCTGGTTAGTCTGTATATCAGATTAGCATTCATGAAGAACCCTGAACATGGTCTTCTCATTTCACGGGAAAGTTTCATCAGGAATGGGATAGTGTATGTTAACATTGCTAACCATGTATAGGTTATGCATTTTCTGTTTTTAAGGTCCATAGACCAGGAAAGTTAATAAAGTCATAGAATTGTAAAGTGAGAAATTGGAGATGAAGGGTGACTCCAAAGTTGGGGTGTGGGTCTTAGTGCAGGGGAAAGCAACTGAGTTGTGAGTCAGAGCTGAATTTGAGTCTGACTGTTACTGCAAGCAATTACTAAATATTTCCCCTCCCTCCCCTCTTCTTTCTCCCTTTCCATTTCCCTTTCTCTCTTCTCCCCTCTCTTACCCACCTTCCCCCCCACTTTTATTATTTTGGTCTTTTTGAGACAGGGTCTCCCAGTAGCCCCAGCTGGCCTGGAACTCACTATTAGACAAGGCTGGCCTCAATATCACAGAGATCCTCCTGCCTCTGCCTCCTGAGTGCTGGGATCAAAGGCGTGCACCACCATGCCCAGCCCACTTTTTTTTCCCCAAGATAGGGTCTTGCTTTTGAAGCCTGTATGTTGGTCTCCTACTGCCAGTAATCCTCCTGCCTCAGCCTCTAGAGTGCTGGGATTTTAGGCCTAAGTCACCCCACCCCACTTTCCTACATTTTGTAGATTTCTTAATAATACTGTTCAAATTTGTTCTGGAAGTTAAAAGCACTGGCTCAATGGTGGTAAAGTCTAGTTCAAGAGTCAGAGATATGGGGTTCTGTCTTTAACCCCAACCTTCACAGCTTTCAGCAAGGTGTGTTTAGGAAGCTTTCAGGTGTGAGGCAGGGTCCTTCAGGGTTGTTTGAGCAGACTATTGAGATAGGATGGTCCCTCTCCTGGTCAGGACACCTGCTTATCTGTGTTCTTGGTCTGCTTTGGGTGTTGACAGGAGTGGCTGGGCTCTGAACTCCTTGTGTGTTCTCCTGCCTCTTGGCAGAGTTTCCGGGGCTGAATTCAGTATTGTCTGATCACGTTAGCGCAGAAGACTGTTTTATGATTCACCACATATACCTTTGTCTGCCTTTGGTTCCTAGAAACACATTCAGAGCAGATCAGGCATGAATGGCAGCCTCAGGTGGTATTGTCTGAGGCTCACCCCACAGCAGGTGGAGAGGAGAGGGCTCCCCTGGCTCCTCATTCTCCCCATGATGTTTTCTTCCACAGCACTCCATGTTCACAGCGGTTCACAAGCATTACTCCCTGGACGACTGGAAGCGCTTTGCTGAAAACCACCCTGAGTGCCTACAGGTATGAGAACAGGTTTTAAATGACAAGGGCTTGAGGGGAACATTTGAATAGCACAGAGTCTATCCGGTCACTGCCAGGGCAGGCTGAGACCTGCAGTACTTTATACCTGGGAAAAGCCAGGATATACCTGTGCGGATGGTTTTTCTTTAGCAAAGGTTTGCATCACCAGACTTGGGGAGGTCTTGCTGCCTGCAGGGACAGCCAGGTGACCCAATCCCGCTGTGCTTTTCCAGGACTAGACAAAGCATTGTAATTATAACAAATTGTTTTTTATTTCAATAAATCAATGCTTGTGCTAGGATGGCTGTTGTTAGAAAGATGTAAGAACTGTTGAAGACGTAGAGAAACTGGAAGCTAGGATACTTCAGGGGAGGGCAATAGTGGCTCAAGGGTAAGCATATGACCCAGCAGTTCCATTTTGAAAAGAAATGAAAACATACATTCACACAGACACTTGTTCATGAATGTTCAGAATAGTTTTATTCACCATAGCCCCAAAGTAGAAAATGTCAACTAAACAACTAAAATGTCCAGTTGATGAACAACTAAGTAAAATAGGCAATATTAGTATGGTAGAATATTAGCCACAAAAAGGAATAAAGTACTGATTGTGCTATAATGTGAATAAAGTTTGAGAACATTTTGCTGAGTGAAAAAAAAAAAACCTGACAAAAGTCCACATGCATGATTTTCATTGGCACAAATTGTCCATAATAAGCAAAAACATAGACATGAGGTTGTGGGTGGGGGTAGGAGTGGGGGTGGGAGGAGGTGTTAAGAAGTGATGCTTATGGTTCATTTTGGAGTTGTGCTGAGGCAGGATATCTCAAGGTCAAGGCTAGCCTGGGCAACTTAGTAGGACCCAGTCTCAGATAAAAAAAAAAAGTAGAAAGAAGCTTGAGGTAACATCCACAGAGTGTTTGCCTAGTTTGTGTTGTCCTAGTTTGTTCTTCATTGCTGTGACAAAACACTCTGACCACTACCAACTTGGGGAGGAAAGGGTTTATTTATCTTACATATCCCTGGTCACAGTTCATCAGGGAGCCCAAGGTAGGAACTCAGGGCAGGAACCTGGAGGCAGGAGCTGGAGCACAGGCCATGGAGGAACACTGCTTACTGGCTTGCTCCCCTGGCCACTGCTCAGCCTGCTTTCTTATGCAACACAGGTCCACCTGCCCAGGGGTGGCACCACCCACAGTGGGCTGGGCCCTCCCGTATCACTCATCAAGAAGTTGTCTCTCAGATATGGCCATAGGCCAGTCCAATAGAGGCAATTCCCCAATTGAGGCTCCCTCAACCCAGGTGTGTCAAGTTGACCCTAAAGCTATCCAGCACAATTGACCCCTTGTCAACTTGACACACAAACATCACTATTAAACCATAACTTTCCAATTTTTGTCCCCAAGATATGATATTAATATCACAACATAAGACAGTACAACCTTAAAACCCCCACAGTACTTAAAAAATGCAAACACTTAAAAGTCCATAGTCTCTTTTAAAAGTCTCTTAACTGTGGGCTTCTGTAAAATCTGAAACAAGTACTGTCTTATTTCAAAGGGAAGAATAGGGCACACCTAAGCAAAACCAAAGTCCAGTAAAGTAGCTCGAGGCTGGACATCTGGGATTCACTCATGATCTTCTGGGCTCCAAAGGGTTCTGGCAGCTCCACTTCTCTGACTCTGCCGTCCACAGCACACACAGCTCATCTCGCAGACCCAGGCCAGCTCCATTCCACATCTACTGCTGTCCTTGGTGGTCGTTCCATGGTCCCGGCATCTCCAAAAAGCTGGGATCTCCACTGAAACCTAGGCTACACCTTCACCAATGGCTTCTTCTTGTCTCTCTGGGTGCGAAGCCTCAGAATCTCTCCATGACCCCTTCAATCCTGGGGTCTTCACTGCAACAGAAGCTGCACTTTCACCTATGGCCTTTCCTGGCCCCTGTGTGCCAAGCCTCAGCTGCTCTCTATGACCCCTACACTCTTTCAACACCAGAACCATGCAGGAGACTCTTACACATTACCAAGTCCTGCTTCCAGCTTGAGATAGAGGCTTGGGTCCCCTCTGTGTGCTGACCCTGAGGAAATACCTCCCAGAAGACTTCACCTCAGTGATGCTGGTCTCTTGTTACTTACAGCTGATTTTTCAGCCCCAACTAACCAGCATCAGTTGTCCCAGTAAAGCAAAGGTTTTGCTTCAGGTTCTGATCTCTTCTAAATCACAGCTGATTCTTCAGCCCCGGGCAACCAGAACCCACCAATTCTCAACTCAAAATATCATAGGAACAGCCCTGATAGTCTCCACTTCCCTTTGAAGCTTCACAAGCCAGGCCTCCATCATCTACAACTCTTTCAGCATAACTTTTCCAAGCTCCACAGCAACAAACTCTGAGCACACAATAGCTTTTCCAGCCCAAAGTTCCAAACATTACCACAGTCCTCCCCCAAACACCAAGGTCAGGTCTGTCACAGCAATACCCCACTCCTGGTACCAATTTCTGTTCTAGTTTGTCTCTTCATTGCTGTGACAAAATACTCTGACCACTACCAACTTGGGGAGGAAAGGGTTCATTTATCTTACATATCCCGGGTCACAGTTCATCAGGGAGCCCAAGGTAGTAACTCAGGACAGGAACCTAGCAGCAGGAGCTGGAGCACAGGCCATGGAGGAACACTGCTTACTGGCTTGCTCCCCTGGCCCCTGCTCAGCCTGCTTTCTTATGCAACACAGGTCCACCTACCCAGGGGTGGCACCACCCACAGTGGGCTGGGCCCTCCCACATCACTCAACAATCAAGAAGATGCCCCTCAGACATGGCAATGCCAATAGAGGCAATTCCCCAACTGAGGTGCCCTCAACCCAGGTGTGTCAAGTTGAAACTAAAGCTATCCAGCACAGTGTGATAGTTGAGATTCAGTTTCTAGCATCACACACACACACACACACACACAATTCCTTTTGGGAATTGGGAAAATGTTCTTTAATTGTAATAATCACCTAACTCTGAATCTACTAAAATCATTGTGTGAATGGGGTCAGTTAGATGACAATGTTGCTATATCTCAGTAACTCTGCTCCACTAAATAAATAGGCTGTTTTTAAAAACAATAAAAGAATTAAAAAAAAAATAGCAGAAACAGGGCTGGAGAGATGGCTCAGTGGTTAAAAGCACTGGCTGCACTTGAGAATCCAGGCTTCATTCCCAACACCCACATGGCTGCTAACAACCATCCAAACTCCTTTTCCAGGGGATCTGATACCAATTCCCACCTCCACCCACATTGTACACATGTGGTCCTCTTACATGAAGGCAAACACTCATGCACATTAAAATAAATAAATAAATAAATAAATAAATAAATAATAAATAAATAAATAAAGATAACAAGAAGCCCCAGGGACATGATCGTTCCCTTTTAGTACATTCCAGTGGTTTTGAGCAAGGCCAGCAGGGAGGTCTTGCAGTTGGTCCTTCTTGGTCAGGCTGTTAGAGGTTGACTGTGGATGCTACCTGCTTTAGTGGCCCACTGGCCTGGCTGCCCACACCCACCACTGTGATTGATTATGTATGGACTCTTACTAGGGAAAAGGTGGTTTTAGAGATAATAATTCTGCCTCAATAGTATTTCATTTTTGATATATTGTTCAGAGTGAATTATATAGTTGTTAATCCCTTGCTATCTTTGGGGGACCCATTCTAGGCCCCTTGCAGATGCCAAAGTCCTTGGATGCTCAGGTCCCTTAGATAAATCTGCACATAAACTCCACACATCCACCTGTTGATTTAAATTGCTTCCACATGACTTGTAATACTTCATACAACACAAATCCTACATAGGTAATAAACTGTTTGTTTTCCTGTTGCTATGGTAAAATACCTACAAAAGCAGCTTGAGGGAGGGTTTATTCTGGCTTACAGTTCAAGAGGACAGTCTATCACAGTGGGGACGTTGTGGCAACTGGAGCTTGAAGCAGCTGGTCACACGACATCCACAATCAGGAAGCAGAGAGCCAGGGATGTATACTGCTGCTTAGCTCACTGTCTGGGTTTATACAGTCCAGGGTCTCAGCCGGGGAATGGTGCCATGTGTCTTCCCACCTCAATGCCATCGAGATAATCTCCCACAGTTATGTCCAGAGGCATGTTTTCTAGGTGATTCTAGATCTAGGTGATTCAATCTGTCACGTTGACAATACTAACCATCATATAGGGTATCATGTAGTCCAGACTGGTCTAAAGCTCACTATATAGCTGAGGATGACCTTAAACTCCTGATCCTCCTGCCTCTACTTCCTGAGCACTGGGTTTACAGGTGTGTGCCATCATGCCTGGTTTATGTGGTGCTGGGGATGGGTTTTGTGCCTGCTGGCCAAGTACTCTACCAACTGAGTCATATCCCCAGTTCCATATTTCCTTAAATCTGTAAGTGCTTGTTACCCTCCCTTGTTCTTTCTGGAAATCTCCAGTTCCTGTGTTGTCCTCGCTTGAGTTTCTTTGTGACACATTTGCACCCATAGCCCCACAATGCAGAATCCTAATGTGCAAGCTTGAGAAAATGGAGTTCTTAGAAGCCAAGGGCGAGGAGGTCTCCTCAGTGTTTCAGAATCTGTTTACTGAGAGATTTTATGGCTGAGACCCAGGTTCAGGGGTGGCTGTAACTCAAAGGTGGGAGAGATACCAGAATCAAAGTTTAGGTCATGAAGGAATGAGGTGGGAGAGATACCATAATCAAAGTTTAGGTCATGAAGGAAGGACTCCTTTCTCTGCTGCTGGTCTCTTGAGCAGAGCAGACCCCAGGGTCACCGCACGAAGGGAGGGTCTGCCTCTGAATACTGCTGTTTATGTCTTCTATGTTTCCTTTTGCCACAGCATGTAGCTGTGAGTTCTGGCAGTGGAGAGAACGATCTGGAAAAGATGAGTCACATTTTGGAAGCTGTGCCGCAGGTGAAGTTCATCTGCCTGGATGTGGCCAACGGGTATTCAGAACATTTCGTGGAATTCGTGAAACTGGTCCGGGCCAAGTTTCCTGAGCACACGATTATGGTAGGTATGCTGGAATGTAGTTGGGATAAGGAAGCGGGATGTTCTGGTGTGTTGGAAGGACACCTGTTTTCTTCTCAAAGTTCTTGTTGCCTCTTTATTAAAGGAGTAGAGAATCTTCAGAAAAAAGACAGGTAGACACCACAAAACATCTGAAAACTAGATTTCCTGTTTCCAAAAATAAAAAATAATCCTGATCAACATCTTGGGATGTTGTCTCCTTATTTTTGCTAAATAGTATCCGATGACTGTTATTAGATTAAATCTATGAAAAAGAGAGGAGGGGAATCTTTGCTTCCCCTTAATGAGTGTATTTTAAAATTGAGAACACGTGACCGTTTCAGTTCAACGTGCTGTGTCCTACACTGAACCACTGCTTGTCAGTAGACAGTTCTATTGGAACTGGACTCGTAGAGCCGCATGTTCATGCTCTGAGTGTTCATTAGTGATGGCAGACTGGCTGAGATGGTGTTTTATCTCTGACCTTTGTTTTTTGACTTTTCCTTCCTTTTCTATATTTTTCTAACTAATAGCACCTTTACTCATTGAAAGTATATATTTTTCCCAGAAGGGTGAATGTGCAGAAAAAGGAATGTAAGAATCACTAGAGTTTGCCAGGTATCGTGATGCACATCTTAAAACCCAGCACTGGAGATACAGAGGCAGGTGGTGTATCTCTGTGAGCTCAAGACCAGCCTGGTCTACAGAGTGAGTTCCAGGCTAGCCAGGGTTATGTAGTAAGACCCTGTCTTAGAAAGAGGCGGGTAGGATGAGATGGGGAGGGAAGGAAGGAGGAAGAGAAACAGCCCCAGCCGACCTGGAACTCACTATGTAGACCAGGCTGACCTTGATTTCACAGAGATCCCCCTGCCTCTGTTTCCCAAGTGCTGGGATTAAAGATATGCACCACTGTGCCTGGCACTCTTTTTCTGGTCTTAACACAGTGGTATGTTGGGATTGACCAGTACATGATTCACTGAACGCCTGCCACTGTGCATTTTCAACTCTGTTTTCCCTCACATTTCCTCACTGTAAGGAAGCTTGGAAGTAGCATCATTTCTGCTAGTAGCATCCAGTCTTTTGTTAAGGGACTTCTGAGGATTTTTTAGGAGAAATATTTTTATGTTTGCCCAACAGGATGGAGAGAAGGGGTAAGAATATTCTACCTAAGTCAACTAGCTCTTCCAGGGCTAGAAATGGGGTAGGAAATGGAAAATTCATTTTGCCCTCTGTAACAGTGCTGCCAACTTTGTTTTAAAAATGACACTAAGCATTTCAGAATACTCTGAAATAGGGCTTGGGGATATAGTTCAGTTGGTAGAGTGCTTGCCTAGCATACACAAAGCCCTGAGTTTGATCCCCAGCATTGCATAAAACCGGGCATGCTGGCACATTCCTATAATGCTAGCACTGGAGAGGTAGAGATAGGAAGATCAGGAGTTCAAGGCCATTCTTAGCTACACAGCGAGATCAAGGCCAATCTAGGTTATCTCTCTCTTTCTCTCTCTTTCTCTCTCTTTGTCTCTCTCCCTCTCAAACATACACATACACACACACACACACAAATACTGTGAAGTAATAAGTTATATTAGTTACTTTTCATTGCTATGATAATAACTGAGAAAACTTAAAGAAAAAATATTTATTTTGACTCACAGTTCAGAGGCTTCAAGATATGGTTAGCTGACCACCTTGCTGAGGTAGAAGGGCATGGTGGAAGAAAGCTGCTTACCTCACGGAGGAAGAGAAGTGGGTGCAGGAGGCCTAAATGGGTCAGGCGCAAGCTACTCCCTGTGGTGGTTTGAATGAGGACTGTCTCTGACAGGCTCATGTATTTGAGTATTTGGCCCCAGCTGGTGGCGTTGTTTGGGGAGGGTATGGAACCTTTGGAAGGTGGAGGATTGTTGGAGGAAGTATGTTACTGGGCTGGGCTTTGAGAGTTTATAGTCTTGCCCCACTTCTGGTTTGCTCTGTGTGTGTATGAAAATGTGATCAGCTAGCTTCCTCTCCCTGCCTATACCTGCTGTCATGTCCTCCCAGCCATTATAACGCTTTCCTTCTGGGACTATAAACAAACAAACAAACAAACCAAAACCCTTTTCTCCCCAAAGTTGCTTTTGGTCATGGCATTTTATCATAGCAACAGAAAAGTAACTAATACAGAAATCACCTCACGGAAGCTGGGAAGAGCTGCGGCCAAGGGAGAGAGGAATGGGTCAGGCACAAGCTGTCACCTTCAAAGACATGCCTCTATTGACCTTCTTTCTTCAATGAGGCCTCAACTCCTTATAGTTTGGTTTTTTTGTTTTTTTTTTGAGACAGGGTCTCCCTGTAGCCCCAGCTGTCCTGGAACTCACTATGTAGACCAGGCTGGCCTTGAACTCACAGAGATCCTCCTGCCTCTGCCTCCCAAGTGCTGGGATTAAAGGTATGTGCCACTACGCCCAGCTAGCTTATTTTTTTAAAAATATTTTATTTAATATTTTTATTTTATTTGTATAAATGTATTGCCTGTGGGTATGTAAGTGCACCATATTGTGCAGTGCACATGGAAGTCAGTACCCTCTTGACCAGCAGCTGAGGACCAAGCCTTCAATACCAGGGCTTTTTGGGGAGAGCTCCATGGCCATACTGAAACTTCCTGAATCAGACCTCCTAATGCTAAGAGTGCCAGGAAAATCTTGGCTTCTCCTGTTGAGCGTTTGACTTGAGTTCCTGACACAGATCTCCTAGGACCCTCCCTTGAGATAAACTCATTTGACTAGAACCCTCTATCATAGCTTTTGCTAGGTCAGTGAGCCAGCTAGCACATTACCTGAGGTCATGCATCTGTCGATTTGAACCCAAGCCAGACAGGAGCTATGTGTAGCCCTATTTCTCCACCTGATATGGGAGGTAGTCCTGTGGGACTGACCCTGAATCTGTGGGATCCAACACTATCTCCAGGTACTGTCTAAACTGAGTTAGATTTTAGGATGTTCTGTTGATGTCGCCTGGGAACAATTTGGTGCATGTGGGAGAAAACACATGTTTTTGTTGAGTGTGATAGTAAGAGAGTTTAGCTTTCTACTGTGTCAACAGGTACCTGTATGTTTCAGGAAGACTGCCTAGTCCCTTCTCTTATTTACAGTATCTCTGTAAGGACTAAGAACAGTTATCCCCATATTACTACAGACCAGGAATCTGTAATGTGTTCTTCGATTTGGGGATTTTTTTCATAAAGCCACACCTACATAAAGCTGCAAAACTGTCATTAGAAGGGAGCCTGGTCAGGCTGAAGTCAAAGTTGCCCCTTTATACTGCCCCTTGAGACTTGGTAATGCACTACCACCCTCCTCTACTTGCTATTGGAGGTATATGGTGATTGGAGCTATCCCTTCGTCTCCAGGTGGGGAGGCTGAACTTGGACTTGCACTGGGGACAATGAAGTTACTTGTCTCTTAACATGACTTAGCACCTCATGTAGACCTAGAGCTGAGCTTCCACTTGGTACCTCTGTCTCTAGCCCTTTGTGGTCACTTTATTTGGGGACACTTAAAAGAGTGAACATGAACCCAGAATTCCAGAAGAGAAGGCCTAGACCCTGACTGGGACCTGGTGGTCATGAACAACACTTGACATTAAATAGAACTTTTAACTTCTCTGGGCCCATAACTCACATGTCAGAAGTTCAGCAAGAATATGATGGAGAGGGACTGCTCACCTTAATGGATTTCTTCTTGAGAAGGGGAGATAAGGATGGGCCTAAGGCCATTCTGCTCCAGAGCGGTCTGGAGAAGTGGGATCTACTTTCTTCTCTTTGCCTCTCCTGCTTTAATTGTTCTGGAGACATGACGGGTGAGGGAATGGGAAGCTGTTTTCCTTTGCTGCCCTGTGGCATGTGTTGTTTATGAAGGACTAATGGGAGATGATGACTCAGAGTTAAGGAAGGTGGCTTGGCGGTTCTGCTTCACGTCTTTGGCACCTTTATAAACTATGAAAAGGGAATGTTTAATAAGTAATCCGAAAGCCCCTCTTCAGCAAACCTACACCGGAACCCCTTCCTCCTCGCCCCGAAGAAGCATTGCTCTGAGCTGTGGTCACCCCGTCCTTCTTTGTAGCCTGCTGGTGTTACTGTTTATTGCACATTCCTAAGTGACTCTGGTTCACTTTGCCCGGTTTCTAGCCTTATGTAAGCAGTCATTCTGCATGTGTATTATACCAGCTTTGCCCTACCGTGTAGCTGAGATTCACCCTGCCGTTTTGTCAGCTGGGAGGCAGTCCATGCTTCCCAGGGCTGAGAGTCCATGCTGTTTCCCACAAGTCTGCTTGCTTGCTTCTCTCTCCACGTGGCAGCACCATTAAAGTCATTAACTCGGTACCCCTCATTTTAACTCCCTCAAGACTGCCATCAAAATACCATAAACTGAGTGGCTTGAAAATGGAAACTTAACTGCTCATAGCTCTTGAGAACGGAAGTCCAAGATCAATGTCTGCCCACTGCCTGGCAACATTGTTCCTTATAGATAGCATGTAGGTATGTCCTCAAAGCCCAAGCGTGCTCCCTCAGGCCTCTTAAAAGGATGCTAATCCCCTTCATGGGGGTGTCCTCCCCTCAAGGCCTTACTTCCTAATCCTATCGCACTGGGGTTTAAGTTTCGAGATCAAAGTTCAGGACAGACCTTGGAACCACAGCACTCTGAAGTCAGGGTGGGCTCATGAGCTGAGTCCCAGGGGGCATTACATGCTTTTTGACTCTTTCCTGGCATGGGAAAATGACGTTGAAGACAATAAGAGACTGAAAATAATTCTGGGGTTCACCTTGGATGCTGCTCTGTAGCCTGTGCGGTATACTCCAACATTGCTTCTAGCTTGTGAGTACCATTGAAGACATGGTCTGAACACTGAGTCAGAGAAGAAAGGCCCTGGCAGTGGAGTTGTTTTAAGAAGTGAGAGGAGGGCTGGGGAAATGGCACAGTTGGTAAAGTGCTTGCCATGCAAGCTTAAAGACCTAGGTTCAACTCCCAGAACCCGTATCAAAAACACCGGGATTTGTAATCTCAGTGCTGGGGACATAGAGACAGATAGGTCCCTGGGGCTCATTGCTCAGCCAGCCTAGCTGAAACTGGAGCGGTCCAGGTAAAAGAGTGAGACTCTGTCTCAAAAACAAGCTAGGGGGGCATCCCAAGGAATGACACCTGAAGTTGATCTCTGGCCTCTACACTGATGTGCACATATGCACCCACATACGTGTACACAGAAAGAAGTGAGAGAAAACACACATTGCTTCTCAAAATGTTGCCTGCTCTAAACAGCTGGTGGTGAGGGTCACACTTGGCCTGTTTCGAAACTGATGTGAGTTGCCTGTTGCATAGCAAATTAGGCTTGTGTGCTATCCTCAAGGACAAAGACCAGGGAAGACTGGGCAGTGCAGGAAGGAGGGCGGATGGGGGCAGCACAGAGAAAGGGCATATTGCCATTTCAGAGCCAGAGGTGGCTAAGAGGGAGCATGGCGGAGGGCTATGGGTGCAGAGTTCCCACAGCCCCTGGGCAGCCTCCAGCAGCCTCTGCAGTGCCCTGGGAGGTTCATCAGACTTGTTGGTTTCCCCAGCAATGAATAGAGAACTTTGGGCAAGGTAGATGTTTATTCCTAAGCCATTCTCTGCCTGCAGTGACCCCTAAAGTTTGTGATTCACTCAGAAACCTGTAGATGCTTATGCCCTTGGTTCTTGGTGGTTTTGAAAATGTTAATTTCGTGGCTGGCTTTCATGAACTGAAGGATCCTGGGGGAATGCTGAGTTGTGTTGCCATCACAATCGCTCTGCAGAGGATGCGGGGAAGCATTGCTATGCTGCCAGAAGTGGGAGACTCCAGGCCTGTGTGTCAGGGGCCGTGGCTCTGCTACTTGTACTGGTTTTAGTCCTTGCATTCACCTATGACCAGTTTTGCCACGTGGTTGGGGAGAGGAAGTGGGGGATTTTTCTAAGACAGCTCTGGTAACAAAGGTGCTGACTGAGAGAAGAAGACTAACCATTCCTACGTATTTGCCTGCTGGCTTTCAGGAAGGGAAATGACTGTTTCCCTGGGAACATTCTAATTACTGCTGGAAATGGACCAATATAGACTTGGCCTCTCTCTCTCTCCCTCCCTCCCTCCCTTCCTCTCCCTTTTATTTTTGTTGCTGGAGGTTGAACTCGGAACCTCATGCTAAGTACATGGTTTACCACTGAGCTGCATTCCCATCAACGTTTCTTTTCAAGGTTTTTATTCTTCAAAAACGTCTTCCTTGGTTCTAGAGACTGAACCCAAGGCTTCTCACCTATCTGGCAAGTGTCCTACTACTGAGCTACCCCCCCGAACCCCCTTTTTCACTTTTCATTTTGAGATAGGGCTTCACTAAGATGTCCACACTGTGATCTTCCTGCCTCAGCCTTCCAAGTTTCTGTGACTATAGACATGTGCCATACTTCCTTTTTTGAATCTAGGGCCCTGGCCACAGAAGGGGCCTGGCTTCCCTGGGTGCGTTTGTCTGCTCTTTGCCACTCTGACAGAATACCTGAGAAAAAGCAAGGTGTACTTTGGCCTAAGGTTTCAGAAATGGTAATCCATAGTCACCAGGCTCTGGTGTATATGGGCCAGGGTTGAGGTGGAACATCGTGATGAGATATGCATGGTGGAGCACAACTCACCTCATAGGAAGCAGAGGACTAGAGATGCAGATGCCGGGGACAAAACACACCCTTTAGGGACATGCCCGCGGCAGCTACATCCTCCAGCTGGGGCTGCTCTCCTGAAGATTCCGCTGCCTTCTAGAAGCTCATGAAGTTGGGAATTCACTAGGAGATCAGCCTAGTCATCTAAGCCATAAAACTAGGGCGGTGGGGTAACCAGCAGGAACCTCCTACTGCCTGCTCCAGTGCCTTAGACAAAGGCACACAGCTTGTGTTCTGCTGTGGCTGTCCAGGAAGTGAACGTGCATGACCCACCTAGTGACACAGTGGGTCCTGTTTCTATGCTTCTGTGGACTGTCACACTCTTACTCCCCATACAAGGTGCTTTTTATGAGATAAAGCAGCCTCATTTAACCACCCAGACCAGCTCCTCTCTACCCCACCAACTCATTGCCATGGCCAGGGACCACCTATGCAGACTGAGGATGTCACCAAAGCCTGACTGTCTTGTTTTCATTTCTGATTTGGTGATTTCTTTTCCCTGAATTGGGTCTTTATGTTTTTTAACAGAACCATTTCTGTTTGGGGAAATACATTAGCACTTTTCACTATTGAGAATGGCACATCTTTGTAGCTAAATCTTTGTCCATGTTTATTATGATGCTTTTGTTGAGAGTATTAGAATTCATAGATCAAAGGATGTTCACAGTTTTGCATTTTTCTTCTATGTGAACAAATTTCTTCCCAGGAAAAATATATTAAAAAAGACATTCTACCCCCACGTGGTGACTCACATCCTTAGTCCCAATACTTGAGAGGCAGAGGCAGGTAGATCTCTCCAAGGTCAACCTGGTCTACATCATGAGTTCAACAAAACAAAAAGACATTCTACCAACAGAGAGAGCTTATCTCATTTTTAAGTATTTAATATTTATAACCACTAACAAGTAAAAAAGGAGACCACATTGATGTGCTGTTTTGATTATTATTGGAGTACAGTACATGCGCTGTTTTTGTTACCCTATCTTCTTTGTTTTATTGTATTTTTCCTACAGATTTCATGAGTTCTTGTGATGTTAAAGCTACTTTGTCATAATCACACACTCGTCTCTAGTGGGTTACTTGTTGGTTATATGAGTGTGTGTTTACTTGTATGCACTTCATTTTATATAGATATTTCTTTCTTTAACGTTACTCCAAGTATTCAAGGTCTTCTTCTGAATTTACAGGGAAATGACTTTAACTTTCTAACCCAACTCTAGCCCTCCTGAGACATTTGTCAGTATCTGCTGTCAGCTGAGGCTTCTGTTCAAGCAGCTTTGAACCAGCCTCGTCACCTTTTCCCGACAACCTTTTCTATGAAGTGCAAGTCTCTTTGTCTAAGGATTGAAAAAGAAAATTTCCCTCCGGGAATCAATTCGGCAAAAGGATTCTTGGGTTTCGATGGGAGTAAAGCGAGTATAGATGCATTTTGTGAAATACGACTTTGCACGGTTGTGAAAACCCAGTTAGGGCATCTTGCCAAGTATCCTGGGTACCAGCTGAAGAATCCACAGGGCAGTGGGTTGTAATAAAAGGGCTATTTTTGCTCTCTCAAACTCCTGCAGTGAAAGAGCTTGTACTATTTCCAACCCAGATGCATCCTTGCGGTTGATAGATTCTGCCACTTCCTGGCTTGCCTGTCTATTCTTAGGAACGAAGCTGAGTTCTGTAGATGGGGTATGTGCCAGTGGCATATGGTCCTTTGGGGCCTGCCTGCCCTTACATATTGAAGTGGGAACCCCAGCCCTATGGCCAGACGTTCGGGCATGTTTTCAGCTTGTGATGGTCAGTTCTATAGCGATTCCCTGGGGCTTCATAGATGATGAAGTAGTTTATGACCAACCCTAAGGGTTTCATCAGCTGAGTGTGTTTTGTGGCTTGTAGAGTTGGGATCTCTGGAAAACTATTTTTTAATCCGACCATTGGGATGTTCAATAAGCCCTAACCTAAACACTCAGATTTCTTACAATTATAAAATTCTGTACCATCTCATGTCATCAGCTCCTTCACATGGCTTCCCCCCAAAGGGTCTCCTGGTATCAGACTTCTGTGTCCAAATTCAGTAGCAGAAGAAGCCAGGGCAATGATTTGGCTCGACTCACCAATCTCAGACTTTAATTGGCTTTGGAATTGGGTCCTGTGTTTTCTTTTTGTCTTCTGCAACCCTGATGGCTTCAAGTCATACATACCCTTGGGGTGGGGAATGGAGCTCCCCATTTATCCTTGTACCCACCAGAGTTGTTCACAATAATTGAGAGCTGTGTTCTTGTTTTAGGCAGGGAACGTGGTAACCGGGGAGATGGTGGAAGAGCTCATTCTTTCTGGAGCAGACATAATCAAAGTGGGAGTTGGACCAGGTGAGACCTGTTGGAATGACAGCTGGGCTGTCTTCAGGGATGAGGGGCCTCAGGGCTTGAGGTTCCTGGAGGTGACAACCATGAAGGCCTCACTGAGGGGGTCAAGACACATTTGTTCTGGAAGATCGCTGTACTTCCCCATGAAGCCTCAGAGATGACAGTGATGTCCCTAGGCATGTGGTTGAGATACGAGGCCCTGTTTCAAAATGTTAGTGTGGAACAGACTGCACAGTTCACTGGCGAGCCATATACCCTGAAGTGGGAGGTAAGGGGCAGAGAATTCATGAGGATAGTTAATGAGCAAGAATCTTCTTGTCAGGCATTAGGACCACCCACTGGCCTCTTAAACGGGAGCATCAGGTGAGCCTTTATCTTTTTTTCCATCTTTTTGAGACAGGGTCTCCCTGTGGCCCCAGCTGGCCTGAAACTCACTATGTAGACCAGGCTGGCCTTGAACTCGCAGAGATACACCTGCCTCTGCCTCCTGAGTGCTGGGACTAAAGGTGTGTGACACCTTTATATCTTTAACCTGGGTGTTGCTTTTTTTTTTTTTTTCCGTTGGGACTGGCTGACATTTGCCTTCCGCTTATGCCCTACTTGGGTGTGAATTCACTTCCATGTTTTAAAATCTATTCTGCCCTGGGGTTGGAGAGATGGCTCAGTGGTTAAGAGCACTGGCTGCTTTTACGGAAGATCAGATTCCATCCCCAGCACCCACATGGTGGCTAACAACCACCCGTAACTCCAGTTCCAGGGGATCTGACACCTTCCTCTGGCCTCCATGGGCATTGCATGACACGGGTGCACTTACATACACCCAGGCAATACAGTCATACATGTAAAATAAAAATGATAAATAAAATATTAAAAAAGGATAAAATTCTTCCCTGAACATCCATTATTAGCCAGAATGTCTTTGAAGACGAGGAAAGAAAGAAGACAGACAATTCAAAATTAGCTGGGACTAACAAACAACAGGTTTGTTAAAATACCTCCCACCTAAAAGGTGGTATCCCCAAAGGAAGCAGACAGGAAGCCCACGTGAGGCTGTGTGGGCAAGTGCTGCCAGAGGACCCCACTGTGCTGTGACTTAGCAGGGTTACCAGCCTCGTGAGAGGAGGATGTGCAAGTGTGCACACTGAAGAATGGTCCTGCCTTTCATAAAACACCCAAGTGGTTAACACAGGGAGACTCTGAACTCCGCTCTCTCTCGGCTTTCCTTATTGTCGCCCACTGAGGCAGGTAACATTCCAAGCCAGAGAGGCAGTACCTGGTCTGCTCCTCACAAGAGACTTCCACCAGACAAGCAGGAGGCATGTGAGTGGCAGCGAAGGGGCGATGGGTGACTCACCCATTCTTAAACCCCTGCATTCTTTAGTGCTATTTCTAGCACACAAGGCTTTTTTCAGTGCGGGGTAGATGGGAGTGAAATCTGCAGAGCTCAGCATCCAGCAGGGAGCACAGTCCTCAGTGCTCCTACACGAGTCGTTATTGAAGTGGGCTTCTTGAAAGACAGTGATGCACAATCTCTAGAGCAGAGACATTTAAGATGAAGTTTGAAATATGAGAAAGGCAAAAGGGCTGGCTGGATGAGGGTGTTGGTAAGTGGTGGTGTGTTCGAGAGAGAAAGGGAGAGGAGCAGGCGGGGTGGGGGTGGGGGACACGAATGAGAAAGGCGAAAGGGCTGGCTGGATGAGGGTGTTCGAGAGAGAAAGGGAGAGGAGCAGGCGGGGTGGGGGTGGGGGACACGCCACTGCATACAGAGACTCTCCAAAGTGGGAAGATACTTGCTGGGTCATGGGACTGAAAAGTCAGTGGTGAACAGCAGGGAGAGATGAGCGGGTGAGAGAGGAAGGCTGCAGGTGGAGCTTGCTCTAGCTGATTTGGGAAGCCCAGGGAGGTGAGTACTCATTTTCTTGGGCATGAGATGAGATTGGAAGGGGAATAGGGAAGATCAGATCAGGAAGCCTGCATTCCCCTGGGCCTAACTGAGATAACACAGCCAGGACTGGGCTTGACACTGGGAAAGGAAAGAGCAAGGGAAACTTGTGTTGGTATGACTGCTGAACTGCAAGCTGACGGAAGGGTCTAGGCTGAGTGGGGAACTTGGGCAGAAGAGACTGTGTGGGAAGTGAACCTGAAATCAGGAAAGATAGCAGCTGGGGCAAGCTGGGGCCAGGGTTGAATAAGTGTAAGGGAATATGGTTGTGTTGGCTCCTTCATCCCGAGGACTTCTATGTGCCAGGCCCCAGGCCAAGTCATCCTCTCCCTCATGCCAATTCATACAACCCTACTAGATAGTGGTTTGTTTTTCTGTTTTCCAGTTGGGCAGTGGGGTATGGAGAGGTTAGTAATTTGACAGAAGTTGAAGGTAAGGAAGCTGGAAAGTTGGGGGAGGATTCCACATGGTGCCTGACATGGAGTGCGTGATAGAATGTGGGAATTGCAGAAGAGCCACAAGCCTCATTAGGGAAAGCCATAAATCTGTTAAAGTGTCTTAACTGGCCCTAAATTGGCAGCCTGGCCTTGCTCAATCCTGGCCTTGCTCAAGTCTTATCAACTCTTCACTCCTTGGACTAAGAGAGACTGTTTATAGAACCCACCTGTCTCCTTTAGTGCTATAGATAACTCACCCACCTGTCTGAGAAGAGACCCTCAAGGGCACCAGACCCTGGCACGGAATTAACTCTTGTAGCTGTGTGTAGCAGAGTTCCTATATGAGACCACACTGCTCCTGGCTCAGAGCACAGATAATCATGCCTCGAGAAGAGCTGTCAGCCCTTTGCTGGCTTCCTGAATGAATTTAGGGAGCATATTCCTTGCCCGTTGCAGGTCTGGCTCTGACTATTATTTCTAAACTTTAAACTCTTTTCTATTCTCCAATAATCTAACAGTGTGCATGTGTGGATGAGTGACGGGTGAAGGAAGGAAGGGAGCTTAAGTTTTTAGAGGAGGTGGGTCTTGAAGGGGAGGCAGGACCTGGGGAGGAGGCTGGGCCCTAGAGAGAAGCCTGGGGTCTGAGGAAGAGGCTGGGGCCTGGGGAGGAGGCTAGAGTCTGGGGAGGAGACTGGGGTCTGGGGAGGCAGCTGGGGTCTGGGAATGAGGCTGAGCGTAAAAAAGAGGTTTGGGGTCTGGAGAGAGGACTGAGACCTGTGCTCTGGCATTGCAGTGGAGTAGCTGTCACACTGGGGAGGGGTGGTGAAGGTTATGGTGGCGGTAGAGGGACAGTGTCTAACATCAGCCAATGGCAGTGATGAGGACTTGCGGGCTCATTATGGCCAGTGATGTGGTGGTGTATGGTGATAACATGGCCCTGGCAGGTCAGCCCCCTGCCCCCAAGCGTGTGTCCACTGTTATGGAAAAGTTGCCCTGTCACTGGGGCAGGACTGTGTGAAGTGAAAGGGCCCCATTTTATGTCATGTTGTGCTCACACACAACCCTCTCTGGATCACCTCTCCCCCTGCACAGGTTCCGTGTGCACGACCCGCACCAAGACAGGGGTGGGCTACCCCCAGCTGAGTGCTGTGATTGAGTGCGCAGACTCTGCCCATGGCCTCAAGGGACACATCATCTCCGTGAGTATCTGCAGGGCAGGGCGCCTTTGGGGACTGACTCTGGGGAGATCTGTGCACTGGCCCTGAGGGGGCCTGCTGCCTGCAGTGACTCTATTTCCAAATAAGCTCTCAATCTAGAGGCACTAGGATTCAGACGTCAGCATGAATTTGGGAGAAGTGGATGCAGGTCCTTATATCTCTGATTCAGGAGTCAGGAAACATTTTGTGAAGTGATAAAGAGGTGTGGTGAATTTTCTGGATGAAGAGATAGATAGGAATTGAAGACCACTGGGAAAGCAATAGAGAGAGATATCTGAAAAATCTGTTGGCCACTGTGTTGGAGTGGAGAACTGGGAGGAGCCAGGAGAGTAAGTCACAGATGACTTACAGGACAAGTGTGGATAATCATGAGGAATACTTGAAGAATTGGAGCTTTCTCCTAAAAGCATCAGGCAGCAATTGAAGATGTTGAAGCAGGCCTGAATAGATGGCTCAGCAGTTAAGAGCACTGGCTGCTCTTGCAGAAGCCCCAGGCTCAAGTCCCAGCATCCCATGGCAGCTAACAACTTTCCTTAACCCAAGTTCCAGAGGAATCCAATGTCCTCTTCAGACCTCTGTGGGCACTGCATGACACAGGTACACTTACATACATGAAAGCAATACACACATATACATAAAAATAAAATTTTAAAAAATGGTGTTGAAGCAGGAGAGTGTTCAGTGAGGTGATTGTCTTTCAGAAATAATTAAACTGGCTGCTTTGGGATGGACTGGGAAGGGACAGGCTGAGAAGGCAGACCAGCTAGGAAGGTGTGACTGATGGGAGGTGACAGTGATAGACAGCTAGGCTTCAGAGCCAACAGATGTGTAGAAAACAGACTTAAGCAAGCCTTAGCAATGGAGTTGGTGTTTGGGGGACTAGCAAAGGGGGAAGAGCCGCCCCCCGTCCCCACTAGTACATAAGAATAGGAAGAAGGCTGGGGATCCATATGGGGTTCACTTTGATTTCTGGGCTTGTGTTGGTTTTAAGGTACTTGTTGGGCATCAAGGAAGAAAGTCATAAGTCACTAGGTTCATGGGTTCAAGACCTGGAAGCTAAGAGTCTGGAGGTCTTGGGAACTTGGGACTGGCTAAAAAGCAAGAAAATACATGAGTAGGGGTGCTCAGAAGAGTCTGCATAGAACTGGCCAGACCTACAGACCTTGGGTCAGAGGGGAGCATGCAGCAGGAATAGGCATCCAGTGCTGGGAGACTTGAGGATTCCAGCAGGTGGATATGAACTTCAGTGTCAGGTCCCGCCAGTGGCTCACCTGTAAGTGGTGCGGGCAGGGTAGGAGCAGTTACCAGAATGAAGGCAGTGAGCAAAGCACCCAGTGTTGGCACAGAAGCTCCTGGAAGGATGATGCCATGGTTATGAGCCAGCAGGTGTTATGAAGGATTGAGAGAGTAAATGCTGGCCAAGGTGACTCTGCCCTCTTCTCATCTGTGCACTGACTTCACCCCATGCATGGGAACACCATGTAGACCACTGCCAATAGTTACTCTGAGTACACGAGCTGAGCTGCTGAGGATGGGAACAGATGTTAGATGTGCCGGACTGTGGCAGAGAGAACTAGGGCTCCTGCTTGTGTAGCTGGGATGGATGGATGGATATACTCAGTTGTCCTTTGGTATTTTCTAGTGATTGGTTTCAGGACCCCTGTGGAAACCACAATTCATAGTTACCTTGTAAGGTAGGCTATCTGTCTGTTTATCTACCTGTCTATCTGCTTACCATTGACCCATCTTCTATTCATCTATCCATCTACCCATCATCTGTGAATCCAGTCCATCTAGGCATCTATACTATATGTCTTTCTGTCCATCCATCCATCCATCATCTATCCATCTATCATCTGTCCATCTTATCATCTCTCCACCCATCCATCTATCTTATCTGTTTGTCAGTTCATCCATCTATCCATTCATCCATTCATCTTATCCATCATCTGTCATCTGTCTATTCATCCATTCATCCATCAATCCAATCCAATCCATCATCTGTCTGCCCATCTGTCTATCTATCCATCTATCCTATCTGTCCACCCATCCATCTTATCACCTGTCAGTCTATCCATCCATCTCTCCATCCATCCATCTATCCATCCATCCATCCATCCTATCATCTGTCTGTATGTATGCATTTATATAGCAGTGTATATACATGTGTACCACACGTTGCATACATTTGGAGTGGTATACTGTGTTTCTGCAACAGTGTTGACTTAATATATCAAACTTTCAGGTCATTTCACTTATGCAATTGTGAGACCATGTGTCCGTATGGACTCACTGGCAAGTTTTCTAGAACCCAGATATAAGAAGTTATGCCACTCTCCCAGTGGAATGGTGCCTTTTTGGCTTTGGCTTACCACTGCAGCTTGTTGAGGTCTCGTTCTCAGCTGATCTTATGGTTTTGTAACCTCCACGGGCTGGGCCCCTCATCTGAGCCTTTCCACAGCATTTTAGCCCTGCAGGCTTGGCTTCATGCCATGTGACTCCATACAAGAACCTGAGTTAGGCCGACTTACACTGCAGCTGGCCTGTGCTCCCAGAGCTAGGATCCAGGTGTTGACTCATCCTGCCGTTGGCCTGTGCTCCCAGAGCTAGGATCCAGGTGTTAGCTTGTAGCACAGATGGCCTGTGCTCCTTCTGTTTCTTCATTCAGTAGTCATCTGCTCACCCACTCATGCAGCAAATATTTATTGAGCATTGACTGTGTGCTACACGTTGGAATAAATGGCTAAAGTTTAACGGCAGTTCCCAGATTCCCCACCCCACTCAGTGAGTACTCTTAGTTTTTGGCCACTGAAGGAATTAACACACATGTTCTGAAGGCAGCATATAGAAGGCTGACAGAACTGGGAATCTGCATTTGCATATCTGCCCCCCGCCTCAAGCCACCCAGGAATACCAGGCACAGTCTTCCAGTGGCTCTTAAAATCCCTGTTGCCTTTGCAGGAGCTGACTGCGAAAGAATCCAGAAAAGCTTGTGTTTATATGTAGACATTCCTGGACTATACCCTAGTGATTTCAGTCTTCAGAGTTTGGCCCTGTTGTGTGACTTTTCTGGGATGATGGGAACAAACATCTATTCACCCCATATTAGGCACCAGTGTGAGACCGAAGAAACTGTTCCACCCAAGTCCAGCTTGATGAACTGGTGATTACTGGACTTACTTACAAGTGTGTGGGTGAGGGGTTACTTGCAGGAGCATGGGTATCTCAAAAGCAGCTGCATCAGCTGAAAAGTGCTACCCATCATGGGTGCCCACTTCATCAAACTGTATAACTGAGTCCTGACCCTAGTCAACATCCTATGTGCTCTGACAACCCCAAGATCACATACAGCTTGGGCAGGAGGATGTGAGTGGCTGGAATTGTGGGGGATGGTCTCACGATGCTTTCCACCTCTTCCTCCTAGGAACTTCTGAGGGTCTTACATACAGATCATCGGACTGCTGATTTTTGAATGGCAGTGGCCATGTCATATCTGGAGGACAGAGTTTCATGACTGCCCCAAAGCCTCAGGTGTGATTAGTCATATTCTCTGTTCTGGTGGTGGTCACTGCCAAGCATCTTAAATCTCAACCTTGCATCACACATATTGCTTGAGTGGCTACCATAGGCAGTGGAATGGAGGTCATGCCGGTACGGTCCTACTGTGAGCTTATTCAGAGATACCATCTGCTGTCTAAAACTTCAAGCTTCATTTATAAAGCTTCTTGACCAAAGATTGTGATGGAGGCTCTGCGTGCCTCTTGGGTGACTAAAGAGTAGTCACCTTGGCATCTGTGCACAGTACCATCTCATGTGGATTAACTCAGTCATTCTGTCTCAAGTGTGATGGCCGAACTAGCAATGTAGTGACAGCTGAGACTTGTTAGAAATTTGTGGGCCCCACCCCAGACCTGACCAGATGAATCAGAAAGTCTGAAGCCAAGGAAGTCTGTTTTAACTGTCCCTCTAGGTTATTCCTACCTGCCCCTGAGCTTGCGAATCCCTGCCTTCTGCAGATGAGCCTGAGCCTCATTGCCTGGTTCCAGAGCCAGTTCCCACATGGTGCTCAGAGAGCAAGTTACCTGCAGGTAACTTGTCTCAGTGACAGTGACAACCCAGGCCTGCAGTGTTGGCTGCACTTACGAGTCTAGCTGTGTACTTCAAGAGTCTTATTTTCCCATCAGTAGTAGGAAATTTCCTACATGGGGCGAGGAACTCAGTTTGTAGCTAGAAGACCAAATGGAGTTCAGAGCACCTGAAGATTTGGTGCTTGCATTTCAGCTCTGTGCTTCCAACCAGCTACCAATCTCCAGATTCAAAGTAGCTGTGGCCCCCACTGTCACTCTCTGAAGGAGTTTCTCAAGCAGTTGCTGCCTCTTTTCCGTAAAACCAAGTCTGCAGGAAACCCATCAGATGTTTGGGATCCTGGCATGTTGTCAAATTCCCTTCCAGCTGACTCTTCATACTGTCATTACTGAATTAGCACATCTGTGCAGCTGAGGTTCAGGAGGAAGCCCCGTGGGATGATGGGGTCTGTTCAGCAGGTGCTTGGAACCAGCAGACCAGGTTTCTGTAGTTTTCTATCTATTGTGGCCTACACAGGCTTAGAGAGAGATAGAGAACACAAATTCATTCAGGATACTTCCACCCTAGGCAAAGTTTAAGGTATGATAGTTGATTTTTGTCTAGTCATGTCACTGTTTAGAAAGACCTAATCCAATTCATTAAGTAGCTTAATTTTGGAGGTTTGACATTCCCAACAAAATAATGCTTACCTTGGAAAAATCTAAAAATGCAAATACTTGTAAAGAAGAAAATTAGCATTATCAGGAATACTGTCATAGGAGAGCCACTGATTCTGATCTCAGTTTTCCATTGTTATAGCTGTGTGGCCTTAGGAAAACCACTCAGATTTTCTCACACTCATTTTTTCACTCAGTCACCAAATACCAACCTTAGAGTCTAGTGTTTGAATAAAGAAATGACTCAAGATCATAGTAGTGCTTGGTTTGCAGTAGGCACTTGATTGGAATTCATGGCTTGGGGCAGGCACTTGATTTGAGTTCTTTTCTTTCCCTATATCATGTTGGTGCTCACACTCCTCTATTTCAGAGGCCTGAGCTATTGTGTGTGTGTGTGTGTGTGTGTGTGTGTGTGTGTGTAGGTCAGAGAACAATCATAGATATTAGTCCTCAGGTGCCTTCCACCTCTTATTTGAAACAGGGTTTCTCATTGGCCCAGGAACTGGCACAGGAACCTTCAGGGACCCTCATATTTCAGGGACCCTCATGTTTGCACCTCTTGTCTCATCATGGCAATGCTGGAATTACAGGTGCTACTGTACCCTGCTTTTCACATGGGCTTTGGGGATTCAAACTCGGGTCTTCACACTTGTAAGGCAAATGCATTACCAGCTGAGCCATCACCCCAGCCCCTCAGGAAGTAGTTTTTAAGCAGAAACACACTGAAAATTCACAAACCCAAATCACTCACGTCCCATGATGCTTTTTGCCCTTAAATATACCACTATCTTGAAAAACAAGGCGAGCAATTCCTGTCAGTTACTCCTTGTGTATTTGCTCAGGACAAAACACATTTTTGTTTTGTTTCATTTTACAACCTTCCAGAAACCAACTGTCTCTGTCTTAGATGGCAAGAAAATGTCCCACACAGTTCTGCTTCCTGAGAACATGACAGTGCTTGAAAATTACCTATAAACAGGAAAAGGTGCCGACAATATCCTCTTGGGACGTCATGTAAAGTTGCATTGTGCTCAGTCCAATGTGCAGTCTGGCCTGTTGGGTCTGCATCATCCATGTCCTAAGTACACACACCAGCAACCTGTGAGCAGATAACACTGACTACAAATATTCTCTGTGATGTCATGCAGCCATTTAGCTGTGGACTTTGGGTTAGCTTGGGAAGTGGCTCATTTTCTTAAGGTCCCAGTAACACAGGGCTTCTGAGTCAGGCTGTGTCACTGATTACAATCCCAAGGAATATACCTTAGCATAACCCCAAGGTATTCATGAGCAAAAGCATTTAGAAGTCATATTGTATGGGACCATGATGGGAGCATGAATTTAAGAGGTTATGGTTTAAATCTTGTGTGTAGAACTAAATGATCAGTTAATTAGTGTGTAGGTATCTGTGCCAGTGTGAACCTTCCCTGGCACACTTGTGGAGGTCAGAGGACAACCTCTGGGACTCAGTTCTCTCCTTTGACCACATTGAAGCAGGGTGTCTCTCATTTTTTTCACTGTACTGTGAACTCCAGGCTAGCTGGTCTTTGAGCATCCAGCCAGCCTCCTGCCTCCACCTCACAATTCCAGAAGTGCCGGAATTGCAGGTGTGTGCCAACAATGCCCTGCTTTTACATGGGTTTTGGGGCTCTCAGTTGGGTCATCAGATTTGTGTGGCTAATGCTTTCACTGGTGAGCCATCTGCTCGGCCCCTAGGGCTGGTTTTGACAAAGTTAATGCATTGGAAAATTAATGGAGCAAGCAGGGGCATATGGAATTTGTACCTTTGGAAGGGGAAAGAAACAAGCATGTTGGAGCTTGGAAGCAGTCACAAGGTATGTAGAGCCACAGACTGTTTCTTCTTCACACTGAAGGCATTGCCCAGTTACTTTGTCAGGAGAACTTACCTCTTGAGTAGTCAAGGCTTCAGGGCACATAGCCCCCTGGAGGTCAGGGAGCCACACAGGAACAATACACTTGACTGAGCAAATAATTACATTCAGAAAAATGTTTGTAAAAAGAAAGAACAAGTCTTCAACACCCGCCACTGCCCTCATCAGAGCTACGAGCAAGTAAACAACAGAATTTGTTTTTTAATTTATTGTTTGTTTACTTGTTTATGAGACAGCATTTCCTGTAGCTCAGGCTGGCTTTGAACTCCTGAGCCTCCTGCCCCCACTTTAGTACTAGGGTTACAAGTGTGCACTTGCAAGACCAGCTAAATAGTGAGAATTGAATCCTAGTCCCTAGAATGTCAGGCTGAACAAAATGATAAGAGTTGAGAGAGGGTCAAACAAGGGGTGGTGGGGCACACCTATAATCCCAGCACTTGGGAAGCTGAGGCAGGAGGATCATAGTTCGTGAGCAGCTTGAGCTACATTGTAAGAACCTGTCTCTAGTAAAAGAGAGTTTGGAACCACAGGGGCCTGTGCCGTCAGGGTGAGATGCTCTTTTTGAAGTGGTTCACAGTACTTTTCCACAGGTTCCTTACAACTCAGATGTGTGGTCTGTATCCTGCAAACCATCACCCAGGTTAGCCCACAGATAGCCCATGTTCTCTGCCTTTTATCCGATGTCCAGCCCCTCCAGTTAGGTCCCCCTTTCTGGGGTCGGGCTTGTCCTTCCAAGGCTTTGGTGTTTCTCTTGGGCACACGCTGAACTTTGTCTCAGCTGTTCCCATCTCTTCTTCCCTTTTGCTTCCATGGCTGTTCCCGGGAGTTCAGCTGCCACTCTAGAACACTCTCACTCTCCTCTTCCTCCTTCAAGGTCATCTGGGCCCCACCAGAAATAGTAGGTAACAGCCTGGGCATTTGGAGTCTTGTGCTTATTTAAAAATTCACCCAAGTACTGCATCCTAGAAACTTTGAACTGAGTTGCTGCAGCCTTAGGTCACAGCCTGCTTCATTACCATGGGAGCAGCCTGCACAGTATGAGCAGAGTGGATGCTGGGAATCGGTACTTGCTTTTTAAAAAAACATTTATTTTTATGTGATGAGTGTTTTGCCTACAGGTATATATGTGTACCACGTGTGTGCCTGGTGCCCTCAGAGTCAAGGAGAGGGTGTCAGAACCCCTGGAACTGGAGTTACAGGCAGTTGTGAACTGCCATGAGGGTGCTGGGAACCTGAGTGCCATCTCTGCATGAGCAGCAAGTGCTCTTAACCTGAGCCATCTCTCCCGCCTCAGTGTACGCTTGCTTTTATAAGGACATTAAGAATGGGAGACACAGTGGCTGAGAAGATAAAGGAGCTGACTTCATGTCCTTTCTCAGCTCTTAAAATAATCCAGTGCTCCTACTAAATAAATCTCACCTCTCGCCAGGCAGGCAGGGAGGGAGGGGTGGTTTCTGAGCAGGAAGGAGCAGAGGCTGTGGAGTGGCTGGGCGTGTTACATAATGTGCTTGGCAGAGGGCAGTGGCCAAGCAGTCATACTTGTTGCCTCCTCCCAGAGGCATCTGAGCCCCCAGGGTGGGTAGGCAGGGGTGGCAGTCTCTGACCCTCAGAGGAGAGAGGGTGAGGCTTGTTTGAGGAATGGAAGGCATGATGCCAAGATTAGTAAATCAGAGGGCCAGAAAGCAGCCTGCAGGCTGTGGGGCCAGGCACTTGGCTGGTGGTGAGAGGTAATTCCTGGTGTTCACATCCACACTGTTGAGGGATGGCCTGGCCCACTCCCACTTGCTGATGCCTTCTCTCCTTTCTCTCTTCTTTTGAAGGATGGAGGCTGCACATGTCCAGGAGATGTCGCCAAAGCCTTTGGTAAGTACTAGGAACAGCCCTGCCAGAGACAGGGAGAGAGAGGGAGAGAGAGGCAAACAGGGAAGGGGCGGGGCTCTGAGCAACTCAGGGAGAGCCAAGGGGAGGGGGAGCCCTGAGGGGGTTCTGGGCTTGTTGGATTTCATTCTCATCTAACAAAATTCTGGCTCTGGTTTGGTTCGGGTCTATGGCTGAGCAAGCTAGGCTCCAGGAGGTGGATCTGGGGTGATGCAATGCTGGCTTGGAGAGGGGTTAAGTAACAATGTGATGTTTTCGTTGGGCAAGAGAAGGCTCTGGGCACCTGTGGCCTTGAACAATAAAGGCTCTGATGTGTACAGACTAAGAGGCTGCCTTTGCCCCATGTGGAGAATGCCCCTGACTGAGTCCCCTTCTGATCCTGCATGGAGACTGAAGAGCCCGCTTCCCACTAGGGGGAAGCAGTGTCCACAGTAACTCAGCAGGGCTTGAGCTGCACGGCCCCTGGGGTTCTGGTATTTGCTCTGTGTAGACACATCTTAGCAAAAGGGGCGGGGCAGTAAAGCAGCTGCTGAGCCCTGTGCCGGCTGCTCACCTTCCAAACTGCTTAGAAGTCCTAACAGCTGATCGGCTCCAAACTGTTTTAGTGGCAGGAAACTTTGTCTTAGGGATTCCATTCTCCTTTTTAACTTTAAAATTACATTTATTTATTTATATATATGGGGGTATGTGTATCACGTCGAGTGCTTGTGGAAGCCAGAAGGCATCTTACAGGAGTCAAGCTCAGGTGGTTAGGCTTGGCAGCAAGTGCCTTTACCCGCTGAGATATCCTGCCACCCCTGCTCTGCTTTTAAAATAAAAACTCTGACAGTGACAGAGGCAGATGTGGACAGTGTTCTTTGTGGCAGGGTTTCATAGCAACCCAGGGTATATCATAAGAAGGGATGTGACCCTAGGCCAGTTGTGGAAGGGACCATGTAAGTCCTTGATCTGTTCCAGCTTGCCTGTCTTAGGGTGGAGAGGACTGAGGCCCCAGAATGAATGACAAGTATATTGTCCTACAGTTAAAGGCAGGAGAACCCCAGTCCTGTGATCCATAGCCTCAGACTTATCCTTAAACATCAGCCATGGACATTCTTGCTGTTTTTTTTGAGCAGAATCTACTTAGTGTGGATGGGTGCTGCGTCTTGAGCTTCTTAATTACCTCCCTCAGACCCTCTGCACGAAGCAAGAATTGAAGACACTTAAAAGCAGCTGGTGCTTCAGAACATGCCCTGTAGATCACACCTCTGAGCTTGGGACTCATCCTCAGCTTAGCTCTCCCCTCCGGCTGTCTGCCTGTGTCAGGGTGGAGAGGGACTTTGCCAGGAAAAGCCTGCTGGGAAACTATTTGAGTGTTCAGGGAAGAAAGTTACTTGTGAGCCTCTTCAAGCTTTATCCTTAACACATCTGCTTTCCTGCTGCAGACGTCCTGGGGTTGTGGTCGTCTGGAAGTCTGGCTCTTTTCCCTTAAAATCATGGCAGGAGGGCATGAAGCCAGCACTGGCGTCTGGGAGTCCAGGTGGGACGGTCTGGGCATTCTGTTGTACCTTGCTCATAAGGGCTGGCCACACAGAGCAATCCCCCTTTTTAAAAAATATATTTTTATTTATTATTTTTATTTTATGTGTATGAGTGTATTGCCTGCATGTATGTGAGTGCACCCGTGTTGTGCAATGCCACGGAGGTCAGAAGAGGGCGTTGGGTTCCCCTGGAACTGGACTTAAGGACGATTCGTAGCCACCATGTGGGTGCTGGGAATTGAGCCCGGGTCCTCTCCAAGAGCAGTTAGTGCTCTTAACTGCTGAGCCATCTCTCCAGCCCCAGAGCATCCCTTTTTAAGAGGCACAGCAGTAGAAGGGACCCACTCAGTTGTATACCCCAGGGTTCTCTTGTGAATGTTGAAATGACTGGATCAGAGACCACTGAGGCCACTTTTACCCTCTATAGTTTCTCCTCCTGAGAGTTTTGATCTGCTCCTTCTGATTACTTACTACCCTGCTGTACTCTATTTCTGTCCTAAATGGGAATCTTCAGACTCAGGAGAGGAAGCAGTGTTAGTGTCTCACTTCTTAGTCCATTTTCTGTTGCTATTACAAAATACCTGAAACTGGGCAGTTTACAGGAATAAGAAGAATAAAAGTGATTTGGTTCATGGCTAAGAAGGCTGGGAAGCCCTGGAACATGGTGCTGGTACCTTCCTGGTTCCTGGAGAGGACCTGGTGGAGGGCATCACCTGGTGACAGAACATGTGTGCTGGTTCAGGTGTCATATCTTACAAAGCCACTGAGGCCATCTTGACTGTGTCTAACCCTCTTGGCTAACCAGAGTTCCCAGCTCCAGATTCCATTATCTTAGAAAATTAGGAGTTAAGTTTGCAATGCATGAACTTTTAGGAGATACAACTAAACCTTAGATAGTTAATGATTTAATGAGGAGCCCGTCTACAGACACCCAAGAATAGTACAAGGATCACTTTCTTCTTTTTGGATTTTGAGTCAGGGTCTCTAGTTCAGGTTGGCTTCAAACTCACTATGCAGCCAAGGATGACCTTGAACTTGTGATACCTCCTGCCTCTACCTCCCAAGTGCTGAGATTACAGGACAGTAACCATGCCTGGTTTATGGAATGCTGGGGATCAAACCCAGGGCCTTCTGCATGCTAGGCAAGCACTCTACCAACCGAGCTTTAGCCTTGGCTGTCATTGTATATATATAAGATCGGACATTGTATTTTCTAAGATTCTGTTGAAATCATCTTGCTTATATGGACCTAAAAGAGGAAGACTTGTTTGGAAGGTGTCATGGTCAGTCACTAACACACTCGACACAATGTGTGTTTTACCTGCTCCTTGCCCCTGACTCCCTGCTGTCTCCTCCCTGACTCAGAAGGAGGCTGAGTCCTTCTTGTGCCTTGAGTCTGAGGAGGAGGGTATGTTGGGGAAGACTCCCCTCTTTCCAGAGTCCACCCTATCCCTTTGTTCCCTCACTGGCATGTAGGCGCAGGTGCGGACTTTGTCATGCTGGGAGGCATGTTCTCGGGCCACACTGAGTGTGCAGGAGAGGTGATCGAGAGGAATGGGCAGAAGTTGAAACTTTTCTATGGCATGAGCTCCGACACAGCCATGAAGAAGCACGCAGGAGGTGTCGCCGAGTACAGGTATGGCTGCCAGAAAGGCTTAGGTTCCATCTGCAGCTCAGGCCAACCATTCTGTGTGTATTAAGGTGCTTTGGATGGAAGCAGTTAGAAAACATATCTGGCATCTTGGTACAGAGGACCAACTTTTATCTGGCTAGCATTTAGTTTGAAGGTCTCCAAAAACAAGTGTGGAAAAGGATCTTGGTCCTGGTTAGAAGTGTGACTAGAGGTATGTATCTTAGACGGGACCACACAGACTCTTGTGGCTGAATGTGAATATTGCCTTGTCCTAAAAGAGAGCTTAATGAGCAACCCCTGTAACTTTCCATCTCTGGTTTGAGACGAATTCAGTCTGCAAGATTAAAGATGAAGAATGGCTCTCCCTCTACAGAGGAAGCAGGTGGTGAGTCCTTTCCTAGAGGATGCTGTGTCACTAACAGAACCAATCACCTACCTCTAGGCTTGGACAGTTGGCATAGGTAGCGTTTTCAGCTGGCTGGCTGTCATCTGCTGCAGAACTGGTGCTCGTGTTTGCTGTTACAGTCTCCTAAAATCCACAGCCCCCTAAGGTCGCCCAGCCTTTTCCCTTTCACTTCCAGAGTGTCTACATGTGTACTTAAGAGCCCTATGACAGAGCAGACCCACAGACCCAGCACCTCACCCTGCTCCACAGAGCTACCACTGCTGCTCAGCAGAACCAGCTCTGAGGACGGACTGTATAAAGGGGACAGAAGGCTTCACACCCTTAGAAGGCTCTGTCCCCACATGGGGTGGAAAGCCAGCCCTCCCTGACTCACACCCTCTATGTCTGGTCACTTGTCCCACAGTCAGAAGCTTGTCTGCAGGGTATAGCATTACCATGCATAATGTAAGCCCAGTGTCAGCTAGAGGGAAAAACCACAGGACTCCACTGAGATACTGAGATTCGGAGGTGAGCTAACTTTTCAGTTGTCATTCTTCTCAGTTGTGTCTTTGGGTAGAAAACTCAATAAACAGTGTTAGAGTAGGGGTGGGGGGCAGGGTGGGCAAGAGGCCTGGGATTGCCTCAATGAGGAATGGAACATACTCCTTATGGTTACCTCAGAGGCCCTCCTTACCAGGGCACCTGGACCTCTGACCAAGAAGCCCACTGTTAAATCAGCAGCTATGGTCACCTTCTGAGGACCACGCAGAGTCTGCTCTGAGCCTGAAGGAAATTGAGCCACATGGTTCAGAGGCCACTGAGTGCTGATCTGGAGTACATTATTTTTCTTCTTCAGCTGTTGTGGAGAGTCCTCCAAAAAAGCAGTGGATAGGGAAAGTCAGAGTAGGCTACAGATGCCAGGAGACAAGGGAGAAACCATTGGGTAGGGTGGGAGGTCAGCAGGGTAGGGGTGTCACAAACGCTGAGACTCAGCTCTGTAAGCAAGTTCGATCTTACAGCTCATCTCTTAGAATTGCTGAAGGAATTAAGACCTTCATCCATAAGTATCTTAAGAATGACAGGTGGTATCCTCTCTCTCTCTCTCTCTCTCTCTCTCTCTCTCTCTTTCTTCCCCTCCCTCATTGTCCTCTTCTCTCCCTGTTCTGACTTCCTGTTTAATCTGTGCATGGTTATTCCTTGTCAATTCCTTGCATTACAGATGAGCAGACTTTGGGGTCCAACAGTGGGTAACTCACTAAGTGATGTCACCTTAGCAAAGAGGCAAGGCAAGGCTAAGAATCTGGGAAGGCTGAGGACCTTACGAGGAGAATGAAATGGCAATCATTGTTGACACATACGGGCACATGTCTGGCTGTTTCTGGTTACAGGTTCTGAGACCTGAACCATCCTGGATGTGACATTGACTCTGGTTTCCTGAGCTTGTGCTCTGTGCCAGCTGCTAGGCAGCCCTTCATCAGCTGATGGTTTAAGATGCAGGAGTTCACTCAAGGGGAGCCATCCATGTTTAAAAGAACACAAGTTTGGGCTGAGTGTACCTTTAAGCCCAGCACTTGGGAGGCAGAGGCAGGTGGATCTCTGAGTTTGAGGCCACCCTGGTTTACATAGCAAGTTCCAGGACAGCTGGGGCTACAGGGAGACCCTGCTTCAAAAAGACCAAAAAAATAAATAAAAATAAATAAATAAAAATAATAAATAAAAAATTTAAACAAACAAAAAGCAAAGCAAACAAAAAAAAACCTGTAAATTTATACCCTTTTCAAAATCTAGGCAATGAATTTCTCATCAAAAAGAATTTATTTTTCCAGGTAATGAGACGAGGCACAGAAAGTTCCAGAATTTGGGTACTTGTTAGGATTTTCCCAGGTCTCACTTTCTGTAATATAAAAGCACATGTAGGGACTGGAGAGATGGTTCAGCGGTTAAGAACACTGGCTGTTCTTGCAGAAGACACAGGTTCGAATCCTAGCACCCACATGGCAGCTAACAACTGTCCTTAACTCCAGTCCCAGGGAATCCGACAGCCTCTTCTGTCCTCTGCGGGCATTGCATGACACAGGTGCACTTAACTACATGCAGATAATACATGCATACACATAAAATAAAAATAATAAAATGCTAAAAAATAAAGCACATGTAGACTGCATCTCCATTTTCAGGAGGAAGATGTGATTGTGATATTAAGCTGCTCCCTGCTGGCTTTGAAAACAGTGGCAAAGGCTCCAAAAGGACAGTTAGAAGTTAGTTGTGTTAGGACAGACTTTAATTTCTTTTTTTTTAAAAAGTCTTGGGGTTGGCGAGATAGCGCAGTGTTAAGAACACTGGTTGTTCCTGCAGAAGACCCAGGTTCAAATCCCAGCACCCATAACTCCAGTCCCAGGGGATCCGACAGCCTCTTCTGACCTCCGTGGACGTTGCATGACACAAGTGCACTTACCTGCATGCAGGCATTACACACATACACATAAAATAAAAATAATAAATTTTTTTTAAAAAGTTAAAAAACATTCTTAAAAATTCTGTGTGTATGAAATGAGTGTGGGTGCCTGTGGAGGCCAGAAGAGGGTGTCACATCCCCTTGAGCTGGAGTTACAGGCAGTTGTGAGCTGCCTGTTGTGGGTGCTGGGAGCTACACTCAGGTGCTTAACTGCTGAACCATCTCTCCAGCTCCAAGACATGAATTTCTAAGCCCTGCTCTGATAATGTGAAAGATGCTGTCCGAAGCTCTGTGGACTCTGCACAGCTTTGTCCTGCTCTGAGCAATAGGTGTGGTGATACATGAGTATATGGAAGTTAGCTGGGGGCTGGAGGAAGCCAACAAAGGGCAAAGATGGTCAGGCTACAGAAATACAGTCACTACCTCCAAGGCAGAATTTTCCACATACCTAATGCAGACCTGAGCTGTCCATGGTGTCTCCCCTGGAGAACAGGCAGCATCCACGGAAGTGGTTCTTAGGAGGGTGAACCTCTGTGCCTTTTCTATTTGGTAAAGAGGATGAGTGGAGGAGCTACAACAGGAGGTGGTGTTAGGAGACAACCCAGAGCATCTGTTTTCCTCAGGGAGGAATTAGGCTCTTGATCATTTGGTAGTTGGTTCTTAAACAGGAACCAACAGAGTAGAGGCACATTGCTGAGGAGAAGAACCATGGAACTCTTGGCAGTTATGGGATCTCCATTTCCCCTGCATGTTGCTGGCCAAGACATCTCTTTGCTGAGTGGGCAGGGTACCTGTTGGGTAGGAGGAGTGCATCACCTATGATCTGCTGGGGACTTGGTAAGTGTGGGGGAATGGCTACTTCAGGGCTTGGAGACACTGCTAAAAAGTCACAGCATGGTGTGAAATGTGGTCTTGTAGACATGAATGGCTGTTGCATTCATGCTCACAGCAGCTGAGGTTACCTGCATAAGACCTGCACAAGATGGGCCTGTCAGCATTCCACCATGGATGGCGAGGGCCTCATGACACCCCCTTTCCCAGGAGCTGTTGGCAGTTGATGGTTGTTGGGAGAGGTGGTGTAGCCACTGGTAAGTTGTCCATGCTCCTGTAAATAACCCCTCACCCAGGCTCCTGTAAACAGCACTAATTCTTAAGGATAAACAAACTGGATTAACAGCCCCCCCCCCTTTTATTCCCCAGAGCCTCTGAAGGCAAGACGGTGGAAGTGCCTTACAAAGGAGATGTAGAAAACACAATTCTGGATATCCTCGGGGGACTGCGGTCTACCTGTACCTACGTGGGGGCTGCCAAGCTCAAAGAGCTCAGCCGGAGGGCGACATTCATCCGGGTGACCCAGCAGCACAACACGGTGTTTGGTTAACCTCGGGGATGCAGGGACATTGGACCAAGCAGAAGCCTCCTCATTTGACACTTCTCTGATCCCTTCTGGGGTATCCACCAGACTGGCTGTTCTGTGTGGTTGAGCCACTGCTGACACTCTGCTGAGTCCTTTGTCTTGTTCCTGCACCTGGAGGCCTTGGGGCTTGTCCTAGGTGCCTGCATGGGGCCCAGCAGCAGGTGCTCATGGGGCCAATTGGTCAGCACCTAGAACTTAGGGCCTCATTGTTTAAACCAACCCTTGTACCCTCTTTCTTTTTCTTCCTTCTTTCTTTTTAAACACAATGGTTTCACTTTTAATATAATGCTATAATCTTGATCTACTACTGCTGGAGTTTGTGTGTTCAAGAGCCTAGTTGTATAGGATCACTAGAAAGTCTTCCCGTCAGGTGAGTGGCCCTCAGCTTTTAGCACAAGGACCTGGGCTGGGGAGGTGTACGTGTGAGACCAACCTAGAACCTGAGTAATTTATGCCCTATCTATCACTGCAGCTTTTGTTTCAGGAAAGAACACAAGCATTGGACAGGGTGGGTGAACATGGAGAATTGGGCCCTGGCTCCCATGGCTCTGGTGCTTTCTGTGAAGTCCTTTCTTCCTACCTACCCAACTAGTCTTGTCCTGGGTATGTGTATGTGTGTTTTTACTCCCAAGCCCCTTTCCTTCCTTCCTCAGTCTCGGTTGGTCAGGCTGCCCCCTTTTCTGCATTTTTGTATTTTGAGATGGCTTAAGTAATGCCTCTGCTGACCTTGAACTCACCATCCTCATGCTTCAGCAAGCTAGACTGGCTTCTCTCAAAGAGGTCGCAGACCATCTTAGAGTCCCACAGATGTTCTATGAAAGTTATCTGTGAAGAAGTGTTGCTGAAAACCAGCCAGTTCTTTGCATCCTAAAAGGGCTTAAAATGTGAATTTAAGCCAGTCTCTGTGGAAATTAATTCCTCCTAGGAGGGCCCACACAGTTCTTGTCAGGTGGCTATGACTTGGCTGGTAAGAGGGACTCTGTTATGCAGCTTGTTGAAGCATCTTGTTGAAATTACTGTTTCAGTATGAGGCCTGATGTTCCTGTGGGTCATGATGTTTACTTAACAAGGCTCATGGGCTGGGCCAGGAGCACATTTTCTTTGCAAAGGCAAGCAAGACTCTGCAGTGGGGAAGACCACTTGGTGTTGCTGAGTGAAGATAAGTGCCTGTGTCCACAACACCTGATGCCACAGGAAAGATCCGGTCACACCAGCACACTGGGGGATTGCTGACCCATTTCTAGTCTGTTATTTTAAGAATACATTTAAGGACTGGGCAGTTTTCATTTTAATACAATACTTCTCCAACTGCCCTCCCAAGGCCATGAGTTGTTTTTGTACCTGTTGAATTATGAATGATGGTACTTAGGAGGTCTGTATGAGAGTAGTATTCATTACTTTTCTTACTGCTGTGACCAAATACCTGACAAGAAGCAACTTATGGGAGAAAAGGTTTATCCTATCAAGGTTCAGGTAGTATTGTCCATCATGGTGGGTAAGGCATGGTGGGAGTGGCTGGTGGCTGTGGCTGTGGGAACAGGAGGCTGCTTGCTCACATCTCTTCAGACCAGGAAGCAGACACAGATGAGTGTTGGTGCCCTCTGACTTTCCCTTTACCCCTTTTATTCATAGGTCCCCAGCCCATGGGATAGAGCCACCCATATTCGGGATGGGTCCTCCCTCCTCCGTTAAATCTCTCTGGAAACACTCTCACAGACACATCCAAAAGTATATCTCCTTAGTGATTCTACCATCTAGTCACAAAAGTCAAGAGGGTGTTCAATGTAGAGCGAGATGTGCTTGCCTGAAGGCCCCCACCTCCACTTGCCTGTCTGTGCCAAGTGTCAGCCTCTCCTGATATTCCCTGTGGAACATGTGTTTTGTACTTAAGTCCTAAAGTTAGTTTAATGAGCCTGACAAAGTGAGTAAGAAGGAAATCTGAAGTCCATCAGAGTGGATCAGTGGTAGGAAGGGAACTCTGTTCAGACCTGTGCCTTTCTCTAAACTCTTGCTGGGGTGGCTGGCTGTCATCTGCTCCCCTTTATCAGGTCTGGCTCCTGTTTTTAACTGCTTGCCACTACAAGGATATGGTCCTGAGTGTTGTGCTGGATTGGAGCCAAGTCAAGCTGGACCTGTCCTGGGCTTTCCTTTAGTTTCCTCCATTCTTTTTCCTTCCCCTTCAGTAACACACACTGCTCTGTCCTTTGTAAGGATTTTGCAGCCTGGTTGTTTTCATAACCAATGGCAGGTCCTTTGCAATGCAGTTTCTAGTGAGGTGCTATGTCTCAAGTTCTTGTAAAGCCCAAAACCTATCAGGATCTTTTTGGAGCAGATGCTTCATAAAAAGAACCAAAGCACATTCCCTTTGCTGTAGCAAGTGCATCTCCAACCTTGATAGGAATGGGCCTGGAGAACTGGTGGGAGCCTTCAGCCCAGGTAGAAAACAGAACTGTATCTTGTGGCCCATGCACTTTGCTTCCTGTGCTAGAGTGACGGGTATGTAGTGGCAGAGGCAGCTGGTGGCTGTGGCTATGGGAGCATGAGGCTGCTTGCTCACATCTGTGCAGACCAGGAAGCAGAGAGATGCATGCTGGCTGCCTTCTAGCAGGCATCAGAATACATTTTCTTTGGAAAGGCACGCATGCCTGGAGTGGGGAGCTCAAGTTGGTGTTTTTCACCATGGGCTGGAGTGAGACTTCTCATGGTTTTCAAGGCATGCCCCAGGGTAGCCTACAGAGCTGGGTTTTTTTTTTCCCCTATTCAGCTAAATCCTTTTGAGTTATCCCATCCAGCCATTAGCATTCCATTATTAGCATCTAATCAAAAGAGGGCTTGCCCACTGCCCACTGGGATGTTCACCTCACTGAATACCCCTTCTAGTCTGGTCTCTTGAGGCTTACTGGCACCACTGGCTTGATAATCATTTTCTCACACACTAAAACATATGTAAGACCTCAAGTCTGTAGCCATGGCTGGTTTTGAACTTGTGACCCTGTCTAGGGTGCTCAATTCCTGGGGTTATAGATGTGCACCACCATGCCCCACAGGACCCCAATTTTTTTTTCTTTGGTCTTTTTGAGACAGGGTCTCATTGTAGCCCCAGCTGGAACTCACTATGTAGACCAGGCTGGCTTCAAACTCACAAAGATCCACCTGCCTCTGCCTCTGCCTCCCAAGTGCTGGGATTAAAGGTGTGCATCACCAAGGCTGGACCCCAACTCTTAAGTCTACTTGGCTTAAGTCTACTTAGCTCCAAAACACCACCCTGAAGAAAATGGAAAGAGTTTATTGGGCCTCTAACCAAGTGATAACTGAAGGCCCCCTTCAGTCCTGCAGAAGGTCCAAGTTCAAGAAGAGGAACTCCAGAGCCACAAGTGTAGATGGGGCAGGGCGGGCCTGGAGGTTGGTGGTCTTTATGGCATGATTTTCTAGGCAACTGCTAAGCCACATCTGTCCAAAGCTGATGGCTCCTTGTGCCAGGAGACCCCTGTCTGTGGGTTTCTAACAAGTACACACTACAGAAAACCCCTTCACCTCCAGAGCACTTAACCAGCTGATGCAAAACTAAAACAAACGTATTGATTATGCCACGCGAGCCACGAAGCTGCCAAATGTTTGAAACACAAACCTTAGTATCGAGCGGATGGGTGACAGACAAGAAATCGAGTCACCCTCCACCTTCAGTTTCCCCGGGACTGAGGAGACCACAGTGGAGCTAGAGAGGAGGGGTCGGTACCGATTTTCAGCGTCTCCTTTGGGGACCTGACAGAAGACAAAAACACAGCTTTGCAATTGGCACTGTTATTTTATTAGTACGAGTATACTCAAACAATAAACTTGTACTGGTATACAGACAATTTATTTAAAACAATTTTGTTCAAATTTTGAATCAAACATTGTTTTATTATAATAATGAAATAATTTCTACCTAGAAAACCTGCAAGCACCATCAAAGAAAGGGACCATAAAATTCAATAAACAGACTCGAGTGTATCCTACAAATAGACACACCACGATTAGAAAATAGAATATGAATTCTTCCATTTTTTAATATTTGTTTTAAAAAAGCTAGTGCAAGTACAATATTTTACACTGGAATTACAGAGAGTATGCACACATATGGAAAAAAAGTTCTCCTGTCACAATAAAAGCTCTTAACTACATATGCACTTAAAATTTTCTTTTCAATAAGGTGCAAAAACATCACTTCTTCCCTAGTTCTCCACACCGGTAGTACCCTCAGCCCAAGATTTGGTGTCTTTTCCCTTGACCTATGGGAAGCATATGACTGAAAATGGATGGGTTGGTAACCTGATTTCAAAACCTCTACTGGTTAAGAGCACAGATGCTCTGGGGCCAGGACCCCACTGGTTAAGACGAGGACTGTCTTGTTCGAAGGCCATCACAAATACTGCCAGGACTCCACTGAAACCCCCTTTCGGTCCACACTACCTGGGGTGACACGAACGAGCAGTGCAGGTGGGGAGAGGGCAGTATTCACAGAACAGGATGGATTAGTGGCTAAGGTCTGGCTCACTGACGGAGCAGTTCACCCCATTCTTGAACCGAAGGATAACTTCAGAGTAGAGAGTTCATGTAAGAACCAGAGAAAACTGCACCGACATTCTTGGTAACTGATCTTTCAAGACAGCAGCTCAAAACCAGCATCACCTGGGCTCCATAGTCCAGAGGACAGTATGGTATCTGGTATCTCGGTAAGGATTACTGTAAACAGCACTTCCCAAGCTGGCCTTTAGATTGGCCATCCAGACAGCAAACAAACTAAAGGGAAAGAAAATGTGGTGGGTGGAGTCTCCAAGAAATCTGCAGTGGAAGACTTGGGTCTTTCAGTTAAGAAGTGTAGAAGGAAATTCTTAGAGACCTGTTATGTAGATACTACCTATTGGCCAAATGCACTTAATTTGAATACAGGCAAAGCACCCGTATGCAAGTCATGGGGATGTGAAAGCTGAAGCCAAGGTTCCATCCCACCTTTGTGCAGGTGAATGTTAGCTACCAGAACAATTGCATTGTACAGTAAGGGAGGGGATGAGATTCTGAATTTAAGAATCAAAGCTGGGGTCTGTTTACTGCCCCCGTGCTGTCCAGTTTGCACTGCCCAGCTCGACTTTTGGACAGGAATACAACTCTTCTGAGAAAATGCTCCATGGTTTTTCTGGCCTCTATTAGAGAAAAATGAAAGCTAAAGTGAGGCATTCAAATTGAAATTGATATTTTTACCCCCCATTTAAATGAGGTGTGGGGGGCAGAAGGAAGGCTAAATTTTTTTCCCCCACCGTGAGTCCTGCCTTATCGGTAATAAGGATCCCTTTTAGAAACACTTCATGTTCAGGGTTGTATTCTTTGGGTTTATAGGAACAGGAAGTGCTGAAATATCAGACATCATTTGAAGAAAAGAAGTTGTGATGGCTTAAGAGCTTAGACTAAAAAGGGAGCTTAGAGAAGTACTCAGCCTAGGAATGAACAGTATTCTCAAATAGCAGAATACAGAGTTCCCCTCCCTCACACAACCGCTATGAGTAACTCAGCAACAGTAAGCATCGTATAGTTTAAGAGCCTTTTACGTAGTAATTCTTCCAGGCCATAACCATACAAATTTGATCA